AAAAAAAAGGGGGTCATAATTAGTGCTGTTTCCCGGGGGGGGGGGGGTGCTAGCCAAAACACTTGCGCTACTACCTACATTATGTTTATTGTGCCTCACAGCTCTGGGGGAGGCTGATGAGGACATAACTTCTGTCCTCAAGAACAGTCTCTGTAACCCACTGAAAGAGCTACCAGTTTCCTTTAACACTGTGGCTCAAAGCAGTACTACCTTCCCCAACCGAAATTAGCAAGTGCTGGTAAGTGCTGCCTGTTATTTTGCCTCATATACACTTCTTTTCACACGTTTCAGTTGACTCACAAAATGCAATTGTATAATTTGTTCCCAGGACACAGAAAAGGACAGTTTTTAAAATATTTCAGTTCAAGCCGGGCATGGTGGCACATGCCTTTAGTCCCAGCACTTGGGGGGAAGAGGCAGATGAATCTCTATTAATTCAAGGCCAGGTTGGTCAATATAGCAAGTTCCAGGTCAGCTGAGACTACAGGGAGACCCTGTCTCAAAAATACCAAAAGAAATTCAGAAAATTCAACTGACAGCTCAATTTAGTCAATAAAAGCTTGGCCACCTACTACATCTTTGTACAATAGTTAATTTTAGTAACTGAAACAGACTGGTAATTTTGTTAACAGGACACTGCTAATGGAGTTGGAAGGGTGTGAGGGTACCACCTTACTTTTGCCAAGTCCACAATAGACACTATCGTCAGAATATTGTGTCTCTCTGATGTGGCCGTTGGGCCTTTAGTTATTGATCTTGGAAACTAGAATATCATAAAGACGTCAAGGCTCTTCCATTTTTATACTTGCATACAACTGTATTTTTCCATTGTATAAAACCATATTTTTCAAGTAATTTTGTGTCATGTTGACATAGAAGAAAATGAGGCCATGTTTGTGTGTCTTCTCAAGTCCTGTTCGTTCTAAATGTCTATATTATAGATACTTAATAAATAAAAAGCGTATTTTGTCGAAGGCTTTTCTTCTTTTCTTTCATCAGTGTCCCCCTGCCTGGCCTGGACATTCTTATGCATACCAGACTGGCTTCAATCTCAATTTAGTCTTGCTTCTGTCTCTCGAGTGCTGGGACTGCAGACACGTGCCAGTAGGCCCTGGTTGGTCCAAATATTTTAAGCTTGGAAAACAGTATTGAAATATCTTTCATGGTGATCAGTACATTAAAATAAACACACAAAAGCAACAAGAAACTCAATAATTTTCATTGATTAACCAAAAGAATATTCCTGCAATTTTATCTGCACTCTAGAGTAAATTCTGTAAGATTTATAAGGCAATATAAGTGTTTGGTAAAGAGTGCTAAGCCCTAAATTGCTAAGTGCTTCAAACTGACTTGAGGCTATATTACATTATCATGTTGACTTTATACTTTCTGTGTGACTCAGTAAATAACTAAGTAAAACTCTATATAACAACATGAAACCCACTCAGAGCAAAACTAGTTTTAGTTTTGTAACAAAGATTTATCAATACATTTCTTTGAAGAGATTAAGAAAATTTTAGGTGCTTTAAACATATATGTCAAAACCATCTCATTCCAGTCTACCGTCCTTCGTCTTCAAAGGTAAAATATGTCTTGAATCCATTATGAAAGAAATAAATCTCCCACAATAGGTGCTTCAGCAGGGAATTGTTGATACTGTGGGGAGGGAGAGGAGGAGCTGGAGAGGTGACTCAGTGGTTAAGAGCACTTGCTGCTCTTCTAGAGGACCTGAGTTCAGTTCCCAACACTTAACGCTGAGCCTGTAGCTACAGCTCCATAGGATTTAAAGCCTTCTCCTGATCCCTATGTGCACTTATACACACGTGACATAAGCGCACAGACACACACACACACACACACACACACACACACACACAAATAAATAAAAATAAAGGATAGGTCTTAAAAAGATATGGGTAGTATACACTTATATGTCCACAGGTATATTTTATGAGGATGACCAGCGTGGTCCACACATAGGGATTTTGACATTAACTTACATGTACTTGCAGACATGTCACATTTTTTTCATTTCAAAATAGATATACTGTTACCTTTCTTGCGTCTTTTATCATCTTCCGAATAGTTTCCTTTATTGTAAGTAGGTGTGCTCTGGGTGGATGAAAGAGGAGGTCTACATGGGTAACCCCTAAGAGTCCAGGCATCACATACGGCCAGCCTAAATCAAGATTCGGAGCCTCCACATCAGATTCAATGGGCCAGTAAGTTCCTGAAGAGGAAGTGTCATCACAGGCATTATCAGCACCGTGTGCTGTATTTTGTGCAAACTTCTGGACATTTTTCAAAATGTAATTAATTTCTTCCTCAGCTAGAAAGTCTGAAACTCTCTCCTTAACAAGGAATTCTTGGTAGGCTTCTAACCCATGTTCAATCAATGTATCGATGGCCACTCGGTACCATTCCTTGTAGTGCGGCTCGATGTAGTTGTCAGACCTGCAGTCGTCATTCAGCGAGGAGAGCATTGACGAGGTCTCCATGTTTGCAGATGTCTGAGAAGGGCACCTTCAGATGCTCATCTGTGCAGCAGCAAGAGGTATCTGAGTGTGCAAAGGAAATCAGATCAGTTGGCATTCTGTATTCAAATGGCTGACATGTGTCACCGATCACTCTGCCAGCGTTGCCATTAACTACCATGTACATGGCTGGCAACTCAAGCTGACACACATCATACCCAAAATGATAACAGATCTACAACTGAAGGTCTATCACAGGTCAGTTAAATGGATTTCTCTTACAAACTATTGTCTGATTTTCCATCTTTAAAGGTGCTCCAACTTTTGTTTTGTTTTGAAACAGGGTCTCCCTGTAGTCCCCTCTGGCCTGGAACTCACTATGTAGGCCAGGCTGGCTTTGAACTCACAGAGATCCACCTGCCTCTGCCTCCTGAATGCTGGGATTAAAGGCATGTGCCACCATGCCCAGCCAACTTTGAATTTTTTTTATGTGAAATAATGTACCTGCACTCTCTGAGACCCAGAAAGTGTGCTTAAGCTGAGAGCTTGGTGAGGTAGAAATTCCTGCTAGACTTTACTCTTCTGACTTTCCAATATTACCGGAATACAATTAGGCATTAACAGAAGTCTGTATTGAGTGCTTATTATGCATATGGTAATATGCTAGATGAAATGTAAAAAGCACAAAATAGATGTGTACCAGCAATTTACTATTTAGTTGAAGTGGATAGTAAGATATACACACAGAACTGTTAGTCATCACTCCAAGCATGGCCATTTTCTACTAAGAGTCAAGTAAGTGGGAATTTACCCTCATTAATTAATTAATTAGTTGGTTAATTCACATATTCAAAGAATAAAAGCAAGCGCCAATTAGTAAGGAATAAATGTGCTATGGACAGGCCTGTGCAGGAGGAACACTTCAGCTGAAACCAGGGCTGGGAGTAAGAATCCAAATAGACTCTCAGAGAAAATATTTTGACTCCAGACAGGGTGCAAAACATAAGCAAGGGACAAGCAGAGAAATGAACATTTAGAAATTGGGGAGGAGAAAATTTTAGTATGTGGCACAACAGGTTTCTTTTATGAGTAGGAGATAAGGTTGAGCAGTCAAGACTGAGCCAGGTATGGGAGAATCTAGAGACTTGAAATTCAGCCAAACTTGTGTTGAAAATTCTGGCAAAAGTTGGTGGCTTTGTCTCAGTCAGACAAGGGGTCCTCTGCAGTTTGAAGTCATGATTCCCATTGTGGGGCTCACAAAAACCACAAATCCATCATATGCTACCAGAACTTAGAAAGCCAATTTGAACAAAACCCTCCCTTTGTCAGTGGTTTTTGACCTACTTTAAAATTCTGAACAGAACTGACTTTTCACAGTCTTGATCCCACCAAATTTCAAATCTCATTTGTGAGGGTCAAATCTGGAAGCCATTACCATTTGTTAACTCTTTAGTTCAAAATTCTTAACAATATTCACCCAAAATTCACTCTGCAAATCACAGAGACAAGTTGTGAAGGACCAGACCATAAAGCCAGCTGAGGGGCAGGGGTCAGATCCATCATCTGAGGTTTCCAAAGTGAGGAAGGAAATGACACACACTCTTTATTTTGTCATTTTACAGGACATAATCCTGTTCCCAAACCTGGACTCAGAATTTTTCAGAGAAACTCTACTTAGAAAATGAACAGGTTAATCATGAAGTAAAAATAAGAAAGGACCAGACATGGTGACATAGGCCTGTATTCCCAGATCTCAAGGGTAAAGGCCAAAGGATCTTAACTTTCAGATCAGATTAGGCAAAATAATGAGACCCTGTCTCAAAAAAGCAAGTTCTGACTAGGCATGGTGGTGTATGCCTTTAAACTCAGCAGTTGGAAGGCAGAGGCTGGTAGATCCTCGTGAGTTTGATGCCAGTCTGACCTACATAATGAGTTCCAGGCCAATCAGGGCTATACAGTAAGACCCTGCCTGAAAGGAAGAAGAGGGAGGGAGGGAGGGAGGGAGGGAGGCAGGGAGAGACACTCACAGAGAGGAGTATTTAGGAGGGAGCAGATGAGTAGGAGAAGAACCAAAATGTAGAGAAATACTTTAGAGGATGAGCAAAGGCCTGTGCCATCCAGCCCGGCTTCTCCTTTAAAGGAAAGCAAATGAACATTCCATTTCCCTACGTATAAAAACGAGGGAGGGAGGGAGGGAAGGAGGGAAGACCCTGGGGACAGTAGTACTTGCAAGGTCCTGGGTACAATGCTCAGGTCTCAGCATGGGCAAGGGCAGGCAGGAGATGGGGGTCAAGAAACAGGACAAGGTAGAGGAACTTCTCTCTTCTGCCTTCTGAAGACCCCTTAGTTTGAGTCACAGCAATCAAAGCCTAGAACACTATAAGTGTTCCTGGAGTCATCAAAGCTCTGAAGAAGGCAGTCTACTGCCTATGATGCTATCATTCACTGTAGAAATACTCCTTCCTACAAGGGGAAAAGCAGGAACAGCCAGCAGCCCAACTGTTAATGGTGAAGGCTATGGTGTAGAGTCCAGCCACACTTCCCAACCAACAGGTCAGCACATGACCTGGGGGAGGGGTGAAGGGTACATAGGTTGGGGAAGCCTAGGGAGGGTCTCTTGCCATTTTATGTGGCTATGGGGAAGCCACCATTCATGCTTGGATGAAGACTCTCCAGTGTGGCCTTAGGAGGGGGGAACCCACACTACTGTGAGTAAACTCTCACCCACTGCTCTGTAAGCAAGCCCAATAAACTCACTGGTTTTCCAGACTGTAGTATGGTAAAAATCATACCTCAGTTTGTTGTTCAGACAAAGGGAGGAAGGGATGGATGTTGTTTATATACGCCGCCCTCCGCAATAAGGAATTTTGCAACACTTGGCATAGTCGACAAAGATTCAACAAAACCGAGGATGAGTTTGGGAAAAGCACCGGTGTCATCCATGATACGGTGAAGGAGCCCAACAATCAAAGTGAAGCTGGGTGAGGGGAGTGTAGGTAGAGGACATCTTAACATGGCAGGCTAGCCCCATATGACTGATGAGGGTCATAGCAGTGGCATGGGCAGGGCAGTGGGTGGTGAGATGTGCAGTCACCTAGGCAGATGGTATTGGTGGGAGAAATCCCAGGATAGCAGTCCTCTTACAGGTGGTATGGAGTGGCACACTTGCTTGACTGATAGGGGTCACCATGGGAGTATGGAGATGCTTTGAGGACAGCAGAAGGTCTAGAGCAGACATTACAAGCCCTGGGAGTAGTCCACCAGGGGCAGAAGTGTCAGCAAGCAGCCTGGCCACTGCTATGGGTCATAAGAGTCTGTCCCAGGCCAAGGTAGCTGCCCAGAGGCAGACTGAAGGTGTAAGAGAGGAACTGCAGCAAGAAAGGATTATGAGGCAGGACTCTTCAGTGTTGGCCTCCGACATAACCAGTAAACTGTACAAAAGAGAAAGAGAGACAGAGGTGCTAGCCTGCCGATTTTTACAGCTAGGGGCCAAAAGCTTAAGAGAGCACAGGTCAGAGTGATAATACAAGGTTCATTCTGGGCACCCAAAACCTGGAACCCATGGTGGAAGCAGGTAGTGATGAGGAAGGAAATAACCTAGAAATAGCTAAAGGTACCCCTCGGGTTCGACGTTTAATACAAAGGAAGGGAAAAATCCATGGTCCAGCATGCTGATGGAGGCCTTAACAAAGGTCCAGTACGAGAGACAATGATAATCAGAGAACACTCAGCACCAGAGCTGTTAGAACCAGGGAAGGCTTTCAAACAAGCAATGAAGGAGCTCTTTACCACATGGCTTGTGAAGCTGTGGGACATGGGGGCAGGTGAAATTAGTTTGAGTGCTGCATAAACACAGAAGTTAAGCAATATAACCAACCATCCTTCCTTAGACACAGGCTGCATAACCTGAGGCAGTATAGGGGGCATCAGTCCCTGATTACAGACACTTGGCAATCACCTCTGGAAGTTTTCATAGATATCAGGGACTGGAGGACGGGCAGGCATGACTGAGGGAACTAGGTATGAGGAAAGCAGTGTATGATGCTCCATTCATTGGGCCAGATAGGATTGCAGTCACCAGAGACTTAAAGAAGAACTTGATTCAGCAGGGACCTCGAGATTGGTATGAACCATTAGTGGTTTGTCTGATTACTTAGTGGGGCAGAAGATTTATGAGGAAAGGCTTTGCAGGTCTAAATCACTTAGACCAGCATGTAAAGTGTGTCCATAACGTGGGAGAGCAACCTAAAGGAGATAAGAAAAGAGCAAAGTAGGCAGAGATTCAACTGAGTTACTTGAAGGCAAATGTAACAAGATTTGTGTTGAGCCAAGGTTCCTAGAGAAGATATTGACAAAAAGTCAAATTCTGTGCTAAGGAGATTCTGCAAACCTTTAAACCCTGACAAGCAGTTCACAGAAGGCATTCATGACGAAACAGTACAGGTGCAGAAGACAAAGTTTCCAGGGGTGGAGAGACTTTTCCCAGCTAGGACCTCCCACAGCAGCTAGATGTGGTTGATAGAGAGACAACAGATGTGGCTACAGCCAAGGGGCAGGCCCAGGGTCTATCTGACTTCAGGAACCAAAGAGGTGAAGCAGGGAAAGATGAGGCCCAACTCCTCAGTGCAGGGTCCAGCACTTTGAGTCAGCCTCAATGAGTTTATCAGGAGTGGAGAAAAGCAAGGAGGCTCCAGGTCAGAGCTCCAGGATACAGAAATGGAATGGCTAACCGTGTACACTGGAGAAATTACCGTATTGCTTTCTTCTATATGCTCTGTGGTTTGGATATGTTTTCTTCCTCAAAGGTTCAAGTGCTTAAGTTTGGTTTCTAACAGTAATGAAAGATGTTAGGACCTGTAGAAGATGGGGCCTGTGGGAGGTGATTAGGTCTTAAGGCCACTATCCTCATCAGTGGACAGATATCTTTCTTGAGAAACTGGGTCAAATAAAGGAGATGTGGGAAAAGTTAGATTACCTGAAATTGAACTAGTTACCATAAGAAAGGGTCCGCACACTCCCCTCCCCCTTTCAACTCTCCCTTCACAGCTGACAGTCTGAGGCCCTCACCAGAAGCCCTTCAGAT